CCTTCTCTGATGACAGCTTGGTTTAATGGACCTCACAGCACTTTTTAGCAACTAGCAACACCAGTGCACCCTTTTATGGCTGCTTAATCTGCAGTTACAACCTTTACATGTTGGGCCGTTTTCAATATAGGCAACCGTGTCTGATCTGTGGGCATAGATTAGGCTAGTGGCTTCCAAATCTAGAGGTGTGCGTGAACCACTCAGCCTCGTGCTTTGTGTTCTCCACAGATTCAAAACAGATGATGGTACTTTGAATGCATGTTAAGTAACACAAATCAGCACTTGCATTTTACTGAAGATCGTATCAAGCATCTACCTAAACTAAGGGAAGAAACGCTGCAGGATTATGCAAAATACAGGCCAAATCTTGCTCACTTTAGCAGTCTTCATGAAGACCAGAAGGATCTGGTCCAAAAGCGTCAGATAAGAGGATCAAAACCTGCTACTGACTATCTTAAAGCTGAGAAACATATTTTTCTACCAACCCACTTGAAGATTTATAATATATTAAGGAACGCTGAGAAGAAGAAGAAAAAGAAGAAAAGCTAAATGGGCCAAAAGCAAACAAAAGAAACATGTTCTCTTGAGATTGCTAATGCTGGCAGACAATAGCACAGAAAGAATCCTCTGACAGATCTTTGAAGTCTTCAGTACAGCATGCTAGTGGTCCATGTTAATGAGATTTGCTCAGATACTTTTTAAATTATTCCAAAATGTCTTAATCTATTTTCTACATCTTCTTGACCCAATTGCTTCAGAAAAGTCACAGCTTCACCCACCTCTGGACTAAATTTTTCATTCAAATAGGTAAGGTCTTCAAGCAGTTTGTTCTTCCAAAGGCATCCACACAACCTTTTCAGGGTTTACCCCAAAACACGGAGGTCATATTGTGATTTGTATTACTAGAGATTACAGAAACACTTTGCACCGCACCGTACCTTTCAATTTGAGTAACTCAAAGGTCTTCACAAGTAGGATATTGCAACCTCTCCCAACAATCCAAAAGTAAATAAATCCAGTCTTAGATGTGGCCTGACAGACTCTAATCGCTGCAGCTACGTGACTACCACCCCACCAGAGAGTGAGCAGCAGGCACCAGTGGGGGTCTCCCAGATCCCTATTTCCTGCTGGGGGTGATACAAGGAGTCATGCAAAATGCTTCCAGTATGGCTTTATGTAATTTGGGTCTGTTGGAGAGAAAACATCGGAGAAAATGTCCAAGAACCAGGTTGTCTGCTCCATTACATACTTTCTTACGAAAGCACCCAAGTCACAGGACCCATATTCAGAAGTCGCTGCACACCGCATCTTCTAGGAACGATGGCTATTTCTGCTCTGTAATATGCTTTAAGACCATTAGGTCAAAAGCAAGAAAAGTCAAGGTGCCAAACTCAGTAAGGAAAACATCACCCTACTAACTTTCCACTGCCTGCCATGCAGGCGTCACTGCCACCCAGACGGTACAGAAAACAGGAGTAAGGACCTCACCAGCGCAGCTTCTGGAAAGTCACTAGCAAGGAAGAGTGTTGGGAAGAAACTGCACACGCTGTTGAGCCCTTCATAAGCAGAAACTTCTCTGAAAAGTTTGTTTCAGGGTTCGACTTTTGCCTGGAGCTCCTCCTGCTATGGCCAGCGAAGATGCGGCACAGCAACATGCCAACCAGTTTGAGAGCTATGTCTCATCCTGATGAAACACACTGGTGGGACTACTGGGAAAAAATGTTGTGGGGTTTGGTTTTTGGGGTTTTTTGGGGTTTTTTGTTTTTGTTTTTGTTTTTTTTTTGTCCCAGGACCACTCCGTTTTCCACACAGACAAACTGCACAATCCATTTTTTGTATTGAGCTTAGGAAAAAGTCCTTCTGACCTTTATCCTGGCTTGAAGGGAAGGGAGGAGAAAACATACATCTATAAAAAAGTTAAAGCTCAAACCCACAGATTCATCTGTGGATCATCTAATTCGGTTCTGAGTTACAGCAGGCAGCTTGTTTTATTATCAATATTTAATCAGCATTTAACTCTGACAAGCATTAAGATTTGAAATTTTAAACTAAGTGCAACTTTGCTAAATCCTTTGTGTTGATTTTTTTCCCCCCCTGTCTTCTAAAGGATTCTATCTTTGCTATCTTAAAAGTCTGCATGTGTCTTTTGTTATCAATAATGCACAACTTTAGTAGCATGTTTTGTACTTTTCAATTTTTCAGCGTGCAAGCTATCCCTGATTTACAATGCTCACTGAATGCCGTTTGATTATTGAAAATGCTTTTACATACATTTAAACAAACGACTGCTCCTGGAAAACCAACACTATTGTCCATAATTCTGTAAAAATACACTTCCCCTCCCTTCTCCCCAAATCAAACATTTCAATTCAAATTCTTACTTTGAGGAAAAACTGGCATATAATTAGGCATTATGCCTAACAGTGCTAAATAAAGGAGAACGTAAACATCTTAATTCTGAAGGTTTAACCATCAAAGCCCCTTGCTATATCTATTCTGTTATTTGCCTCCCTCCAGAGCTGTTTGGAGCTCACAGGAAAGAAGAAAGCAAACAAACGACGCAGTATAAAAATCTCTTTTACGAGCTCTGTCCTGTATCCCACTCCTCGTGCCCGAGGCCAGGCTCGCACGCAGTGCTGGGACGCCCGGGGCCACGCGGCCGCTCCTCAAGGAGTAGAGAGTCCTGCTCTGTAACTGCACTGAGCAGCTTAACCGCTAACTCAGAAGATGGGATTTCACCTGAAATTAAGCTATCAAGCAATTGAGCTCAAACTCAATCAACCAAACCCTTAACCTTCCCTGTTTCAGTGGCACTGCTCTAATTAGGACTCTATCACTATTTCCATTACTATCTCCTGTTCTCATGGTTTATTATCTCGGCAGTTTCAATTCTCACCCAGTTGAAATTTGACATCCAGTTTCTTGGACCACATATCATTCATTATGGCTTTATTTTATGAAATATATTGCAAGATTACGGACCGATCCTGCAGCAAATGGGTTTTCATTGAAAATGGCACCCCTCACTGCAACAGAAGCAGGACAGAGCCAAACCTTCTCAGAGAAACAGCTCCTAACATTAAAGGACGCGTAGAACAACTTATTTTTCATCAAGTTGTGAATTTTGTTGTGCAGTTTGAAAACACATGCTTGAATATGCATCCTGCATGCATGTGCCGCAGCTGATCCATGGTGTTTTCTCCAGTCCTCAGGGTCTTCCCACTGAGCCTGATCTTCTAGAAGACAAGAGTTTGGCTGAACCCTATTTACCAGCTCTGCCCAGGGGTGTGGGGTGAGACTCAATAACCTAAGATACTCAGGATGGCAGCAATACAGAATACGCCTGCTTTTGGAGACATGGCCTACAAACTTCAGGCTAGTCTAAAGGTGGCGTTTCACATTTATCACAACCAAAATGCCTAATTTTCCCAGGTCACATAGCATCATGGCCACACACGAACCATGGCCCCACAAGAATCCCATAAATTCTGAGGTCCTCTGATGCACCTGGGACTTAAAATTTTCCCCTTCTTCACAAAAACCCTAAGGAGGAATACCACTGCAGGGTGAGGAACCACCATCTTCTTAAACTGCAGGATCTGCTGCTTCTTCAATAGCTGAAATGCATCTAATACCTCAAATGCATCTAATACCTCATGGGCTCCACCATAAAAAAAACCTAGTAACATTCAAATCTTGAAGAGAGGCATATATCATACAGCTGACATACACCATTGGCATGGCCAAGGATTTCAACGTTCACTTGAACTTCATGAATTTCATCCTCGCTAAATAGGTATTTTTGGCAACAAAGAAATGAAAAAAAAAACCAAAAAAACCCACCCCACATCGTCCTCAGATCTATTTTAATTTAAAACAGAAGAGAACAAGGACATTTTTTTTTCCCCTTGAAGTACATTTTAATAAAATTAAAAATAAAAATAGCTCTAATTCACTTTGATGCATTTAGTCATTCTGTAAAATTCTAAGTTTAAAATGAAATCACCATTTTATATTCAAACAAGGTCAAGAGAACAGCACTAACGAGCACTGACATCACAGCGAACAGCAGCCACTGCTCAACGCTTACATCAGTGTTGCTTGTTGCTATGGTGCTTAACCGACTATTAATTTCTGAAAGAAGGTGATTATAAAGCAGCCATATGAACCTCAGTCAGATGACACCCTTCAGTACCAAACACTGATCTGCGCTACTCTTCTCTTCTGCAAGTTAATTTTGTGAATCACCACTTTTGTGATGTTAATATTCCTTTCCAACTTGAAACTTTGGACCAGAAGAGAGGCAAGGAGTTAATTTAGAAGCAAGGGACCTTCACGTTGCTTTAAATAAAAATCATTTTGCAGAGAGTGATATTTCTTTCCTTTTCGCTACGCTCCGAAAGACTAAAAAGCATGTGTTTTAATTTTTGCAGTGATAATAAGCAATTGAATTAACAGCTAAATTCTGCTCTCCTGCTCTGCTTGACGTGCTGCTGTAAATCCAGGAGCGTCTCAGCCTGGGTGAAGCAGCACTGAAGCTGACTTGACCATTCCCCAGGGACTTGCCCCGGCAAGGGGACCTTGCTGAGGGGCTATGCCGTTGCAGCTCCCAGCCCAGCACCTGTGGATGCTGGGCCACGGACTTGGCCACGTGGCCACCAAGACCAGCTAGAGCAGGGTCTTCCCATTCGCACACAGGCTCTGTCTGGTTACCAAACAGCCTTCTCAGAACATGGCCAAAAGCCAAAAAGTGCATCTTTGTGGCCTTGCTCCTAAAATGCAACTGGGCACCCTAAACCATTGGCTTCCCAGGCAAAACACGCGTTTAAGGCACAGCCATGGCTCCAAAAGCTTAGCTCCAAGCCCTACGCTGCAATCTTTATCCATATTGCCAGAAGAGCCTTTACTTGTGCAACTAAGGCATGCTCCCGGGGTTTTCAGGATCAGATCCTTCCTTCAGACATGCTTCAGAAACTGTGCAAAATATCGTTTGTATTTACCTTCTTCAGTTGCTCCTGTAAAGCAATCTTCAGTTACAGCCACCCAAAAAGGTCACTCTTCTTACCCTGCAGAGAAAGAAGGTAACACACGTGACTGCTGGGTCAGAGTCAGCAACAACACCCAAAGCATTTTCATTGGCACCACATTTGCAAGTACAAACATAAATAAAGCAACAAATGAATCTAATGGCGTTTAATGGTGAATGACTTTCAGAGAGAGTTAATAAAACCAATCAAGTCACAGGACTGCCGCTTATCAGTACCAGCCAGCATGAGGCTCTTCAGTTCAGCACGAACTTGGTCTTTGGTGATAGTCTTGATTGACCATGTGCTATGCCTAAAAGGAAAAAATAACTCTGATAAAAAAAAAAAAAAAAAAAAAAGACGAAAAAAACCCCAAGGAGATGAGATTTCTTTGTTCTCTAGCATAAACTTTCTTAATCTTGATGTCTATCAATCTATTTTCAGTTTGAATAATAAATGAGTTCAGTCCTTTGTTTCAGAAATCTGACTATTGTCTGAATGGGTTCTCCTCACTTAAGGCATTTTAAGACCATTTGTAACCACTGCTATTTTAGCTTCTGGATCCTTTCTTTTTTTCTCATCCTTTTCCAAAGAGACACATTCCTAGATGAGATTTTAAAACTAGCTGCACTTTCCAATTCAAAAAGTTGTTTACTGTCTTGGGATATCTTCTCGTTAAGCATTACCAAGAGCACACCAAGTATGCCAAGGTGGGAAGAGCAGTGGGCATTAAAAAGAGAAATAATTGAAGTGTATCTTTATAAAAAGTAGGAGGGAGAAAACAGCACGTGTAGGGGTTTTTTTTTTTACCCTGTATATTACTGCATCTTGTGTACTCTCTCTTATGCAAAAGAGTATGTAATCTTTTAAGAAACATGACAATCTGCCACTTTCTGTTCATGTAATTGGGATCAACATATGGTACAAGAGAAAAGAAAAACATTTGTTTATTAATTTAGATCAAGTTACTAACTCAAACCACTAACAGCATTCAGAATTAATTCCCCATCAGTTGACCAAATACCTTAATAGACTAAAACGATAACATAATTTCAGTGAAATGTTGATCTTCTGCTGCAGGGGTGGAGAGTAATATGTAGTAAAGACAGAAAGAAAGATGCAATCGTTTGGTGACACAGATGACATCACACGAAACGGAAAGTCAGTGACATGTGGATGTGTAAGACAGAGCTACGTGAAACCCCATTTCGTAAAATTCAGCATGATGTGGAGTTTTGGGGGTGTTCCTGAAACTCTTCAAATGGTAAGTTATGCTATTTACATCAGTAGGTGAGGCTTTTACTGAAGCAGTAAAATACCAACCTCTGGGAAAAATCAGAATCTTCATTAAGTTCTTTCAAAAGAAAATTTACTCATTTGCCATTTATTTTGGAAGGAAAAATGGTTTCACAATGAGAATGAGGCATTACTGCTTTACCATTGAAACCCAATTATTTTTAGCCAGAAAAAAAAAAAAAAAAAAAAGGTTACCTTGAGATGAAAGGAATATTGCTTTTATCTGTTGCTCACTAGCATTTTATTTTATTTTAAATTTATTTTTTATGTTTTGAGTGAGAAGCTTTTCACAGTTCTTGTAACGCGGTACCAGAAGATCAGGGACCCAAATTTGTACATTTGCGCTGTATAGGAAGCCCTACGTACTTTGCTGGGGTATGTGTATAAGACATTCCTGATTCCGCCCCGTAAAGGACATAACACTACTCCATCATAATAGGTCAGGTCTCACCTTCCTGAGAGTATGTAAAACAATACATCTTGTATGTAAAATACCTGACCTTTGACATACGATGTGCTCTTAGATTAGCAACAATAAAGGCTTTTATCCTGCTTTGCTGCAGGGGTTATCTTGGATTTGACACTTTAAACTTCTTTTCATATTTATCCGTTTTATAAATTTTCTGGGTGTTTGGCAGTCAGATCCTTATTTTGGCAGTATTTTGCAAGCAGACTTCATTTCTACCCTGAGTCTTCACGATAGCAAATGAACCATCTTAAAATGTACTTTTTAAGGAAACTGCTGAAAATTACACGTTTGCATAAAATGTGCATACAATATCTCTTTCGGCAGTGCTGCAAAAGGCAGGTAACATTTTCTAAACCCATTTCTCATATATGAACTGAACATGCTCCAAGGAAACCCAGTAACACCAGCCCACCGTTAGCTGGTGGGAGACCAACGCGGTCTGCTGAGGGCACCACACATGGAGGGCTGAGGAGGACTTTGGCTCTCTTCACAAATTACTCCCTGACTGAAATCCGGACTGCTTTCATTCCTGGTTATCTCAGTCTTGCTTTATGCTACCTGGCTTTCAAAAATTTGGATAATGTACCACTGAAGTTAAAATGAGCAGCAGAGACAGCTGTTCCCACCTGTGAAAATTTCTCATTAATAATCGAAAAGTTGAGTATCTCAAAACGTAGAAACACAAATACAGACTTGCCTCCTGAAAATGTTTATATGGGTGAGCGAGTTGATGTAGGCAACACACATTCCTTCCATCATGCTGTCTTTAACATAAACACAAAGTACCATCAACACCCTAAGTGCGCGTGTGGAGCAAACAAAGAAAAAATCCCATCCTACCAAAGCAAGACACTTCACTACACTCATATTTTCCCCCCAAGGAGATGATTAAAATAGAAAACCCAACCACAAACAAAAAAATCCACTTGGTGAGCAGCAGTGGTCCTGCGGTCTCACGAGTGGAGGGAAGGTCTCCAAGCGCCCGTGACACCGTCCCCTCGGCCCAACTGGCATCCCGCGCAGGGAATGGTCCATGCAAAGCTGGATCACCTGCTCAGATTTTACCAGATATTCCTGAGCACGTTGGGTTTACTCACTGAGTGCCTCAGTTTACCCATCAGCAAGATGGATAAACGCTTTTGCAATGCATTTTAAAATCCTTGAGTACAAAGATACTTTTTAAAAT